TCCTTCCTTCCTTCCTTCCTTCCTTCCTTCCTTCCTTCCTTCCTTCCTTCCTTTCCCCCCTCCCCCTCCCTCCTAGTATAGGAGATAGGGCCTGATGAATTTGGTTTTGCCTGAGGCAGTGAAGAGTGGGGTGGGAAAGGAAGGGAAGGGAAGGGGGAAGAGGAGGCAATCCGAATTCACACTTAAAGCCACAGCTGAGATCACGCACCCAATTGTGGTGTAGAACTCCATCGGGCAACTCCAGCCCAACAGTTTTCTATCAGCATTTCACTTTTACAAAAAGCGGCAAGCTTCTGGTAGGTAGTCCAGAGAAAGAGCGAGAGGTTGGCAACCTTACTCCTTAAAACGCATCCCTTTTGAAAGAACAAGTCCTTCTCTTGAACTGGAGTTCAAGCGGCACAGGAGATTTTCTCCTTTGGAAAAACTGGTGAGTCCTGAAGGCGGCGGCCCGTGGCCAGCTTCCTAGAGTTACTCTCTTGTTGAATGCCGCGGGATTGCCCTCAGACTAGACATGCACAGACTGGCTCTTTGGACAGAAAACAGTGGGAAGATTCTTTGTAGAGCCATGCAACCCTTGGTCTCCTCTGCGATCCTTGATGGAGAGCACCGCTTCCTACCTTCAAATGCTCTTGATGGCTCGTGGAAGAGGTTTCCCAGCCAGCCTCCAACATTAATGCTCTTTGCTGCAAAATGGCTTCATCTTCCAGTCTTGTTAGCTCAGATTGTTTAATCTGAGCTGGATCTGCTGGGGTCTGGAAGAGGATGGGGAGAGGAAAGATCTGGGGAAGGATGGCAATCTGCATAGGTTGAATGTGGTGCAACTTGGGGTCTTCAGAAGCATAGGATTTAATAGTTTCAATTTATCTGGAAGGGAAAAATTGGTGCATTTAGGAGGCTGATAGCCCCTGTATCTCACTCTGGCTTCTGTTGTTGGGTGAATAGGAATTTTGTCCGGTCATACAGTATATGCATAGCTCAGTCAAATTCTTGGTTTGATCATAGATCCTTTTTCCAAGCCATGAGTCTATCTTGAAAAATGGAAGTAATAAACAGAAGAGAAACTTCTGAGGTTCTTTGGCACACAGCGGCCAAAGTCTTTCTGTACACATTTGATTTATAGGTTGCCAGGTAGACATACTCTAGGTACATTTGAGTTTTTCTCTTGCATTTTCTCTCTCTCTGGCCTGATCCCCAAACCATATTACGTGTGGATTCACATAAGACTACACTAAAGCAGGATTAAGCATTTTATGAAGCAGTGTGTTGTGGGAACTCAGCCATAGTTTTAGCATGGTTATATAAAGCAGACCATCTTGTTAAGCAAATATTTGCTTTGGCAGAGTAAGTATGTGAGCACATATATTTTGTTTCGTTAACCTGGGTTTAGTATATTGTGTGAATATAGCCCATAAGCAACAACTTATTTGCTTTAAAAGTAGTAGTTTAAAAATGGTTAAACTGGGGCTTCCCTATGGCTGTTTTAAACCACCATTGTTTTATATAAAATTGTCCCATATCACAGTGACTAAGAAACAGGATCACAAATAGAGTTTTATGGCTGAGTGGCCAGGCTAGATCAGGATAATGAGAGTTGTACTTCAGTACCTCTGGAGGGCATACATTTGGGGAGTGTGGGATTTAAATCAAGAATAGGCTTGAGATCTAATTGTTGTGTGATCACTAAGAATAGGGAGAAATTTTAAATATTCCTGTAATGGCAGCTCTGATGGAAGTGAAGGGTTGCCATTTTAGTCCTATTTAAAATATTTCACTTGGTGACAATGTTGTGTGTGTGCACATCCATGCAGTGTATCTCTACCTGTAGAGCTAGCCCATGCATCGTACACCTAAGAGATGCTTGCAGACAACACTCAATTCTTCCCGTTCTTCATCTTTTACTGAGTATAGTCACAAACTGCTAAGTATTAGGCAACAGTGTGGTCAGCTGTGATGACCATATAGATAGTATGTCTCGAGTGTTCTTGCCAAAATGTTGAATACTAAAATTTTGGGGTGTGCAACTAAATGTATATTCGGCAAAGTGACTGTTTTGTGTTTTGTTAAATTGGGCCAGCCTCAATTAATGATAGGATATAAAAATTTTCCAGTTACTTTGAATAATTTTTCAGGACAAGTGAAAAGGCAAGTCTTAGTGGACTTTTTTCAGGACAACTGGAAATGAACAAGATCACCTTGCTCCTGCATCAACAGACATTAGAAGAGCCTTCCCCAACCTGCTGCTCTCCAGATATGATTATGTCAACTGAATATTTGTTTAATTGAAATCCAATACATCTAGTGAGTTTCAGGTTGGGAAAGGTTGTGTTGAACAATGAACCAAGCTGTTTTCCTTCTGTTTTTGTGGGTACAAGCATTTCTGCCTTTTCTGATATTTTTTATACGTTTATGAATTCATTTGGTGAGAACTTTCATTGATATGTATGTGTGTGTGTGAAAATTAATACTCCTGCGTGTAAGTGTTGCAAGCATTTGCATGCAGTAGTTCATCCTATAAATCATTCCTGAATACAGTTTTGCAGGAATCCAGATCTGAAATGGTCAGTCTTAGCCCACTAGAACCTACAGTATATTTATGGTGTAAATTCCTGTATTTTGAATCTCAGTTTTTTTAAAAATTTTGAACTAAAAGCATTTTTGGAGAGGAAAATACTTCTGATCATTTGTAGAATTTCTTTCCTTTATTCCTGATCACCATGGATCCTACATGACTATGATTAGGGTTCCTGACCCCCAGAAAGGATTTGGCTTCTCTGAAGTTTATTTTCCTTTTTTTAGCAATACCAAGTATCATGTCACTTGGGATTTCTGGGAGTTGTAGTCCAGCATATCTGGAATGCACCAAGTTGGAAAAAGCAACAGTAGTATACAATCTGACTTCACAATTACTCATCCCCATGCCCAACATTTTTCATTTACCTCCATGAATAAGATGTCCATATCACTCCTGCCTCTAAAAGGTCTGATTTTCTCTCCTTTTCTGCTTAGCAGGTAGCAAAACGGACCTTACCTTAGAAGCTGAGAAGGATTGGAGCTGATTAACTGCATGATTGTGTCCATGTAGTCACTAGGACCTCAGCCCCTTTTAAGTGCAGCTTCACATTTCCTACGTCCAAATCCAGATTTTGAGTCTCCTAGTGTGATGTGATTTTAGATGAAATAATAGCTTTAGGTTTAACTAACAAGGCAAAAGGGGCAGGTTACCTGAGGGCCAAGAATTGCTTCAAAAGAGGCATTTGGTTAGGGAGTATCTCTCTCTCACCTTCTCTAAACTCCTGGAGTCTTCCCTAACCTTACTGCAAGTGCCGTTAGTGAAAAGGTCTTTCTACTTTCTGCCTTCTTTTTCTTTTTCTCTTTTCCATCCTGTATACAGTCTCATTTTATTCTTGCCTCTGTTATAGGTGTAAGGTGTCTGAAGACTCCACCAGCCCCAATGGCTCAAATAAGTCAGGAAATATCTAAAGTGGAACACAGACAGTTCTGTTAGGGATTTCCTGGATCATCCTGGAAACCACCGTCACTGGATCTGAGTTGGAACTGCATGGTCCATCCTGCCCCTTCGTGGAGGAAGGTGCCTTTACTTGTCCCCAAACTTGGATCTCTGGAGATAACTTGCCTGTGTGCTTGGGTTGCAGTTCAAGGCCCAGTCTGCTCCTTCAGAGATGTACCAGAGTTTAGCAATGGCAGCCAACCATGGCCCACCAGCATATGAAGGGACCAGTAGTTTTATGCACACCACAGCTGCTGCTTCTCCTGTCTACATACCCACCACAAGGGTTACTACCATGATCCCCAGCCTGCCTTATCTCCAAGGGAGTGGTTCATCCCAGCAAGGCAGCCCAGTCTCCAGCCACTCCATTTGGACTCAGCCTGGAGCTGAGAATGTTGCTTACAACCCTGGATCTTCTCATCCATCGGTATCCCCAAGATTCTCCTTTGCTACCAGCACCCCCATCCCTGCAACTACTTCCAGAGAAGCATCTGCTTATAGCAGCTCTCTTAGCATCTCAGCCAACACCAGGGACCAATATGCTCGGAGTTTCAGTGGGTCCTATTCCAGTCCATATCCAGCAAGTTATATGACCCCAGAATTGGGCACCACCTGGACTTCATCTCCCTTTGATAGCCCCATGCTCCACAACCTTCAGAATCGGGGAACTCCAGGAGCTTCAAGGCACAGCAACCTAGGTAAGAATGAATCTTCTGAATTTTATTATACCCAGAAAGGGAACATTCCTTTCAATCCAAGATGGATTACATGAAATTGATTAAATTTAAATGATAATAAATACTAGGCAGCTCATCAGTGAATTTAGTAGTTACGCATATAGATTATCAGTAAAATTTATTTTTCACATTTTATCAGCAAGGTACTCGTTTGAGGAGCCTTTCTTTCAGAAATGGCATGTGACAATTCCTTACTCTCTTGAGTGGGAATTAATTTAACAGTTATCATAAACCAAAGAACTCAAGGAGATAGTATCTATATTTTCTTATCCATCAGCTTTAGGAGCCTGGAATAGTGGCCTCAATAATAGAAATATTAAATGTCTCTTTAAAAAAAAAAAGTCCAAGAATCAACAGTATAGTGATGGAGCTGCATCTTAAAAAGTGCAGCTGAGATCAACATCAGGGAAATTCTGTAACTTCCAATTCTACATAGTTCTTGTTTTTACCCTATTTATATTTTACTGCACTGGTGTGTCAGCTGCTTCCTATTAGCTTCATCTCATTTCAATTGCAGTCCTGTAACATTGATCTGGGAGGAAGTCCTTATGATTGCAATGGGACTTGTTTCTGGGTAGGTCCTGCTGTCCCCATGATCCATCCTATAATTCTGAAGTGAAAAAGGCCTGCTGTTTGCTTAGCTTAGGGTACAAACAACAAACGATTTATGGCTAAGCTTATTACTTTGTACCATTTCATGCGGGAAGGAGGGTGTTGGCTTACCTTTGAGGTCTTTGCAACATTAAGCAATTTTTAATCTACTATTAAAAGTGTATTGCATAAAAACTGTAACTTTAAAGCATTAGTTCATGTGGATTAAACAATTAAGGCACAAATTACTAACCTGTATACTTTGTTAGCACTACAAATGTTGCATGTTATTTTGAGAAAGGCAGATCCTTTGAGAGATACAAGGATGGATACTGCCTCTTTTGAACAAAATTAATCCTAGATCAGCCACTGCTTGTTCAGCTGTAAATAAAGCGGCTTGTGTACATTTGCCCAGTAATCTTTTTCTTAAATTAAATTAGAAATTATTATCCTTACATGTTCAGTGATGAATTGGTAACTTACAGACTGTTGGAAATGCTACCATTTTAATCTTCTAGTCAGCCAGAGTCTGTGGTGTTTCTTTAGTTGGTTTTTGACCATCTAGAATGTTGACACCCAGTAATACGTTTTTCTGCAGAAATCCATTAAAGTGATGTTTAAAAAAATGAATAGGATGTGTGTAAGAACCTTCTTAGAACAAGCTGCCACAGTTATGCATACCCTGGAAAAATAAATTGGGGGTTCTGAGTGATCTATTATTTGGTGTGATGTGCTCGGTGTAATGCAGGGGCTTGGTTATCCTGTTGATCTAGGCACAATTTGAATTGGTTCACAAGTTCAACCTGTACGTATATTTGTGCACGTAGGTGATATCTGTGAAATGTTGGTGTAATCTAATTTCAGCACTGCTTCAGTTACGAGAGAAGTTATTTCACTTTGGTTTCAGTTCAGACTAATAAAGATTTGCTTGCTGATTAAGCACAACTCTAGAGCAGAGGGAGTAAATGTAAATCTGAAGTTTAAATTGACCCATGGTCCACAAGGACCATGAAATCTACATGAATTAGAACAGGGTTTTTCAAACTCTGTTCTGCAGAATCCTTGAGTTCCATTACAGCAGTGTTTCTCAACCTTAGGAACTTTAAGATGTGTGGACTTCAACTCCCAGAATTCCCTAGGCAGCATGGGTGGCTGGGGAATTCTGGGAGTTGAGGTCCACAAATCTTAAAGTTCCTAAGGTTGAGAAACACTGCGTTAGAGAGTAAGGGAGAAAAAGATAGTTCACTCAGACGCAGCCAAGGGTGGTCATAGCATTTTTTCTAAGGTACAGTGGAAAAGGTAGGACTTGTCATCTGACATTCAGAAGCCTCACCCCCAGGGTATTTGTGGCTCAGGATGACACATCACTCTGTGTGTGCCTGAGAGGCAGGCAGTAGCAGAGCGAAAATGATGGCCACAATTTTTCCTTAGGAAAATGCCTCAGCTGTGCAGCTATGGCCATCTTTTGGTGAATGCGTGCCCTGCCTTCTGCAAAGTCATCCTGCCCCAGCCCAGCCTCCCTCATTCCCCCGAGAAAGGTCAAATGGAAAGTTTGGGTTAAATCCATAAGATTTAGATAACTTCAGTATCTAAATATGCATGCATCAATTACAATGAGCACAAGTTTAATTTTATTGCTCATTTCCTATCACTAGAGGTTTGCTTCTTGATCAGAGGTTCAGGGAATTATTTTTTTTTTAAATTGACAGGTTCCACGGCCTAAACAAGTTTGAAAACCCCTGAATTAGAACACTATGTAGTAAATTTGTAATATATTTTATCTTTGTATTATTTAATTAATATGAGTGGCACGTTTACAGTTTTGCCTTGCTGGTGTAGTACACTTATAAAACAATGATATCCTCCTGGACTTTCACTTTATAGACTAGCAATTTATTATCACTAGGGCTAAAAAATGAATCAATCACCATACCTTTTCATCTCTCTCTCTTTCTCTCTTTTCTGCTTAGGGTTCAAGTGTTTATTAATGTTTCTGCTCCCATTCATAGACAGGGAGAGAGGGAAGTGGGGAGAGAGAAAAAGGAAGTTAGGATTTTAACATCATTTGTTTGTTTAGGTTACCTTCCTATAAAGTAGTTTTTCCCAGCCTTCCAGATGTATTGGACTTTGATTTCCATAATCCTCTTCCATCCTGAGGGCACCAGAATGGGAAAGGCTTCTAGAAACACTTCCTTGGGATGATGCTAAACTCCCCTGTTGGTTTGTTTTTCTTCTGTTTTTCTTCTAAGAAGCTCAGGACACAAGATACTTAATTGCCTTTCCTGCTTTTTAAATTGTTATAATAACCCTAAGAGGTGGGTTAGATTGAAACAGAAATAGCTAAGCGTGGTTCAAGGTTAACCAAAGTTTCTCATCACCAGGTGGAAAGTTTAGTTTATTATTGTTATTGATTAGCCATTAGGCCATATCAAGATCAAGGTGGAAAGTTGAATCTTAGTTTCCTGAGCTTGGCCTGTTATTCTGATCACTAGACCACACTGGCATAGGATATGAGCTCGGTTGAACCATCCTCTTGATTGCTAGTTTTATGCACCTCCAAATCTCTTTGCCTTAGGGACTATTTTTTTTTTTTCATCCAGGCTCGCTTGTAGAACTGGAGCCAAACTGAGGACCTAAAGCTGGGAGAAAATGATTATTGAAATGGAGGAGGGGATAATCCTAAAAGGTGGAGAGGAAGGAAAAGATTCAGCTCTCATTTTCCTTGTGCCCCTTTTGATCTTCCATAACTCTGTTTTTACATGAACAAGCAAACTAAACTAATCTTCTGTTACATTTACCTTATTTTTAAAGATTTCATTTGTTTAATTAAATTAGTTTTCTTAAATGTTTTTAGTTTATTTTTTGGCAGAAGGAAGAATTAGGATGATATACGGAATAATAGGTCGGTATAAAACCATAATTTCAAAATAAAATGGGCAGCTTAATAAAACTCAGTATAAAGAAGCATACATTGTCAGCAGTCAAAGTGTACTGACAGTTGCTTAAATCTACATGCTGGCATGCCTGTCTGGGCAAGGAAAGATAATGTGGATAGTACCAAATGGACCTCACAGTTGGCCCCAAAGGTGAACCCTTTGAAAGCACACATGCTCTAAATTGGGAGGGAGGGAGGGGAGTCAGGGCCAAGTTTTCTCTGACTCTTCTCCCTCCATTTGAATTTCAGATAGTGGATTGGAGAACTTTAGTCTGAGACTAAACTACAATTTCAGCTTTCAGTCAGGCTGGCGTTATAGGTGGTGATTTTTTAGGTGTCAGAGGCAGCACAATACTCGTAGTGGGGAACATAAACATTGGGGTGGATATAATGAGTTCATTTCCTACTTGTGGGCTTCCTAAAAGCATCTGGTTGGCCACCCTGGGAACAGGATGCTAGTTTAGATAAGCCTTTGATTTGATCCAGCATGCTGTTCTTTGTGTTCAGTGATTCTGTGCCCAAAGCTGCTGATAGTGTTGTAGATTTGGATGAGTCGTAATCAAGGGTTGTGTTTAGCTCAAATAAATCTGGTTCTGATGGGATTTGGGTCCAGAATTAAATGCAACAGGCAGAACCAAACTATTTTTTGAATGGGAGATTTTCAGTGAATACTACAATTGTAGGCTAAATTGGAAAAAACCAAAAAAAAAAACAGAAGTAGACAATCACTTTTGTATTGCTACCAAGAAAACGACATGGCTGTGTCCACAAAGTCACCAGGAGTTGAACTCAATTTGAAGGAGACTTTATTTTTTCTCACCTTACTATTGCTTGTTCCTAGGTCTGCCTCCAAACAGCAGGTAATACCTGTGACTTTGTACTTTGCTGTGTGATGTATTAGGTCAAACTTTCCATTCACACCCAACACAGGGACCTGTATTCACATCTACACCAGCAAATTGTCTTTTGTTGGGACTGGGGCACTGTGTTGGTCTGCAAATGAGGCTGAGCTTTGCAAAAGTTACACACGTGTGTTTGCTTTTGCAAGCTGAGAAGAATAGGGGCCTTTCTGGGAAACGCCTTCCTTTCTTCCCCACTTATACATATTTAAATGAAAACCAGGAGCCCCTGGGCAACCAGGCGGAGGTGTTACTTGCAAATAAGATCATGGGCTTTTCTTCAGTAAGGATTTAAGGGGTGGGGAAGAAAATAAGATTAGGGTTTTGATTTGTTTTATATGGGAAGCCATTGATAAAAAACTCAAGGTCATGCATTGCTTAAGATTTAAATGGTGTTTTAATTAGATAGGATTGGCACTACTTTGCAATTTTATGGATTCTTTGCATTTTCAGAGATTTATCAATCATAATGAGAACCCTCATTCTGGACAGAATTTGGTCTCTCTCTTCCACCTTGAAGGCTGCATTATTAGGTC